GTACTACCTCCTCGGCAAGGTGTTTTGGTGTGGGTGCGAGTTCATCGCATTCACCACCTACAACATCTTCACGGACTTCGATAGCATCTTCCCCACCTGCAACGGTATGCACAGCCTCCCCTACTACCTCGGCGAGGACGGCATGGAGGAGGAGCACTGAAGAGAAGGCGCAGTGAAGATGGTGGTGAAGGCCCAACCGGTCTCGTGAAGCTTGTCTTGCTTGTTAGGGCTTTTATATATTTTTATGTTATGTCGTTGGTTGTATCGTGAACTCTTTTATGTACAACGTGTTATATATATTTATATATTATGTCGTTGGCTACCCTCGAAGCTGAACTATGTGCGTGTATGGAGGGTTTGTCATTATCTCTTCCCGTTATGATCCAGATGGACTCCCTTGTTGCAGTGAAGTTGATCCAGGCAAAAGAGGTGGATAGATCTATCTACGCATCGCTTATTAAGGAGATTAGATACTTTATGTCTCTTTTCGTGAATCTTGTATTACTCATATCAATCATAGCCAAAATAAAGTTAGTGATAGCTTAGGTAAGTTTGCTCGTTTAGAAGGCAGAACTATGACTTGGATAGGGTCGGGGCCTTTGGTAGCGAAAGAGCTAGCTGTCATTGATTGTTTGAACCTTTCGTGATGAGTAATACATTATTTCACCCACAAAAAAATGTTTTAGGGCACCCTATGTTTTATGTAAGAACTATGCTATGGTTGCTACTTTCTGTGTTATGGATGTATGCTTGCCACGTGAGATATCGGTAGATGGATATGGTGCCGTAGGCGAGCCCTAGACATGCTCTCTAGATGGATATGGTGCCGTAGTCGAGCCCTAGACATGCTCTCTAGATGGATATGGTGGTTAATGGTGCCACCAGACTTTATTTTAGACATGGTTTCAGATGGATATCATGATCTACATAATTAAATCTGACATGCTCTTAATAACAAAAACAAAAACAAAAAATCGTGTATACAATATTTTCTTGCAACAAGAACATGTTTATAATACCCACATGTCAAAAAATCAAAGTGTTGTTCCATAGGCTATATACAGAAGGAAATTGCCATGATATGTACAAATAAATTTGACATGGGCAAGTTCAACAAAGAATTGGGACCCTAAAGAATTTGTCATGGTATCTACACTAACAATGACATGGAAAAAGTTATTCTTAAGTTCGCCATGGCAATTATATGTACAAAAATGCCATGGATAAAAGTTGTACTGCTAACAATAAATCGATTTACCATCATGCACTATTTTTGTTCGGCATGGCAATAAATGGATTTACCATGACAATAATCAAGTAAAAAATAGAGCCAACACATGCACTATTTTCTAGGCCTCTTTTATCTTCGTGGGCCTTCGACAGTCAACGCAATGCGACGGCCCAACCAGAGCTTAGTTTCAATTTGGGCCCTAGAACTACGTTCTTTTTCTTCTACGATCGGTGTTGTCTGACAAAACTGAAAGTGTCAAAAACTAACACCTACAGAGATTCAGAGATGGAGATAGAGACATAGTTTAAGCAACACATAGAGCACATGATCCACAAATTAAGCAACACAGAGAGCACATGATCCACAAACCCTTAAGCAAATCGTAGAGCACATGACACGACACAAATAACATCTCTAACGAGTGATGACTACTAAGTAAGAAATTCCTAGAGCAACTATACAAAAATAAAACCCTAAAACTATCAGATTCGCCTGCTTGTTCAATTAAATCATCTGCTTCAAGTTCTTGTTCATCTTCTTTAATTCCCCCTTCAGATCTGCATCCCCAACTATAGAGCAACACTTTCAGGGACCAAATTCGTTGGTGCTGACGGCAGAATGAGCTCCCGGGTTGGGGCCCCATTGAATTGAATCTGCTTAACGTAGTCATCCAGCCATTCAAAATGTGTGCATTTCTTCATGATCTGAAACGAAAACATGAACCCTAAATCCCAGATCTAAGGAAAAAGAATTAAAAGCAAATAGAAAAAGAAATCAGAGAAAAATCATGAGATCTAACCTGCCCCTCTGGCTTGCTCTCGCATTTCACGAACTCACGCCCATAGTTGCCATTCTTGACCTCCTTCGAAGTCAACCGTATCAGTGGCGTGCTGCGTGGGCAGTCAAGACATCGCTCCATGGGAAGTGGATCATACTAGGTCCATGAGGGGCAGGAGGTTGAAGTGGAGCTCGACATATCGCCCAAAGTCGCCGAAGAAGAAGAAGCAGAGGAGTGGCTCCTCTCGCCGCCAGAGAAGAAGAAGCAGAGGAGTGGCTCCTCTCGTCGCCACAAAATAAGCAGCAGAAGAAAGGGAGGCACAACCAACAAGTCTCGCGGATCGTCTCGCGGATTGCCCCACGATCCAACGATGCGGAGCCGTCCATGTGATCCAACGGCGCGGAGCCTGCACGCAGCCTGCCCTCGGAATTCCTCCTAGAAGACCACATCTGAGGCTGTCGCTTGGCGCTAGGGTATGATCAGACGGCTGACGCTCGGAGCTATGGTTAGGCGAAACCCCACGGGGTTTAGAGGGGTTTTGAGCTGGCCAACGGAGTTTCCAAGGCTTTGACTGAGCATAACTAATTTAAAAAAATCAAAAAAATATAAAACCTTCGCCATTAGTCGTTTTATAAGACACACTAACGAGGAAAAATACTAAACTTGGTATACGGGCATTTACAAAAAAAATCTAGCTGGCACGATCGAGGTCAAATGAGCACCATTAATTTAAAAAATCAAAAAAATATAAAACCTGCGCACAATGTTGTCTTCTGTGACATGTTACCAACCAAAAATCATAAATTTTGTCTATGAACATTTTCATGAAAAAACCTTCACACATATGAGCTATCACGTACAACATTTCATAAAGACCAAGGAGAGGAGGTAGTGTTTCCCTTTGGTTTTTGAATATTTTTAAAAAATCACCAAAGCTTGATTTCAAAGTGAATAAAAAGATCTGAACTTAGTTTTCCATTTTCATATTTTAAACGTGTTTTTAATGGTTTTCTATTAAAGTATTTTTTCTTCAAAAAATATAAAAATATAAAGATTAATTTGATAAATAGTGATTCTTCGAATCTACACTATATAGATTGAATAGGTGTTAATAAAAAATATTTGGCTCAATTGGAGTAGGTCCAAAAGAAACTTGATTACAAATGGGGGCGTGCGATAAAAACTTGAGGTACCCTTAAGTAGCGATTCCGCTCTAAAAAAAAAAAGCAATGCCTCGTCACGGCTATTTTTTACGGATCAGATTGTGATGGCTCCCGAAGATCCCCCACTACGTCCATCATTTCCTTTTTTCACACCTAACTCGGGGTCGAACCGGCTCTCGCTGTCGGGTCATAGCAGGCGCGCTCGTGCCTGTCTCCTCCTTCTCCTACCCAACCAACGTGCCGCTAACCTTGGGACCACCCACACGGCTGGCCCGCCTCGGCGTCGGCGTCGGCGTCGCCGTGGCAGCCTTAGTTAATCCCAGCCTAACCCTCCAATTATACCACCACCACCACTAATCTCATCCTCCCTCCCTCCCTCCCTCTGCTCTCTATACACTATACAGTACGCTCGCGGCTCGCTCAGCTTTTGCCTCCTTCCCTTCCCCGCCGTCGCCGCTGCTTCCTCCCTCCCTTCACTCTGCCATATAAAAATGGCCCGCCGCGACACCTCACACTGACACTGCCTCGTCCCGACGAATCACGCGCGCACATTCACACTGGGCTTGGACTCACCGCTGCTGCTGCCGCTTCCGGAGCTAACAAACAGCAACGGAAGCTGGTTCCGGTGGATCCTCGCCGCCGCCGCCGTAGCCGCAGCTAGCAAGCCGAGCGGAACTGGATCCGGCGCGGGAGCAGGAACCGCGCGCGCGCCGGGGCTATCTCGAGGGAGAAGAAATGTAAGCCGCAGGTACTTCAAATTTGAGTTCCTTCCTCTGTTGCTGTTTCCACCGGTGCGCTAGCTAGCAATCCGTAGAGCGGACGACTGTTTCTCCTTCTGGGTTGTGGAGGCGTCCCTCTTGCTTGGCCTGTGGTCTACTGAACCGAGGCGTGCTCTGGAGGCTTCTCTTCTGGCTTTCTGCTTTGCCAGATCTGACTGAGTGAGAGCCGTCGGCATGGCACGCGTGATCTTGTTCGGTTTCTGTTCAGAGCCTGCCTTTTTCTCCGCTGATTCGTTGGGACCCGGCTGCGACTGCGAGAGCCGCCGGCAGATCTGGAGCTTCGGTGGGTGCGGGCACCATTAGATCCGCTTCTCCCCGCGCGCGCTGCTGCTACTCCTACTACCATTAAAGGTTGCGACGAAAGAAATGGAAAGAGTTGCCATTTTTCTCCCCTCGCTGAGCCGTACACGGTTGGTTTCTTTTCCCATCTCGGCTGCTGGCCCGGGTTGTACTTGGTACGCTGTGCATCATCAAGCAGGAGCATGGGCAATCCCAATTCTCGCATGTTATGTCACCGATGACAGTTATTTCTTCTTCTGCTGCCGAATTGATTACTGTAGTAAAGCGCACAGCTCATCTCAACCTTGTTTTCCCTTTTCCTGCCGGCGTCTAACAATAAACAAAATCAAAGTATCATCAAGCAATTAGAGAAAGTTTTTCTCTCAGTCCTGGACGTAGTACTCGCTGAGCCATTATTGAGCCATGATGGGTTACTCTATCCGAATGACCAATAGAATGCACCTTTGCTACAGTTTTGTTTTGTCCCTTTTCTCCAAATTTCATCATTTTATTTCAACGAGTAGAATGTGTATGCTTTACTGCTCTTTGCTAGCTTGGTTGTTTCTTCGCTGCTGTTGAATTACTCATGCCTCATTTTGATGAAGAAATTATTATTCCCAAGCGTGTATTTCCAATGTATATGTAGTACCGGCTACGAACTCATTGAACAATTTCAAATCATGATGGACTTGTTTCTATCTTCTGCAGATACCGTCGATCAGCTGAATTACAGGCCATCTTGAGAGCTGGATAGTACTGAAAATGGGTGTATGGAGCTTCAAGAGGAAAGCTCTGATGTCGGGGCTTTGGTCTCAGCACCATCAAGGAACCTGTCATCCTCTTCCTCCACATTTGTTTCTGCCAACCAGTCACCTTTCTTCACACCACGGTCACTGTCTGCTTGTCGCCCGGAGCATGCTCATGTCGAGCACAATAACTCCCCGACTGGCATCGCGCTGAAAATCGGTGATATTCTTTCCAGTGACACTCTGGTACAGCGGGGGCAGTTACCATCATCAGCCAACATAAGGTTATTGCTAGACGATGCTTCTCCTGCTCCCAGCCTTTGCACTTCAAGTAATTTTGGAACTCCAGCAATTGTCTATAACAATCCCAGCTTCATTTCAACCTTCAACGGCCCATACCAAGGTAGTTCGTCCGCGACTCCAACTAGCAATTGTGATCGTTCAACTCGAAAGGAGAAACAGAAGAGACAGGTAGGAATATATCGGAAATCTTCGTCCTCTCAACCTACGCCATCAGCAGCTTCTGTCAGTAGGCTTCGAACCTATGATGTGTACATAGGGTTTCATGGTCGCAAGGCTTCACTGCTGAGGTTCACAAATTGGCTTCGTGCAGAATTTGAGATTCATGGAATCAGTTGCTTTGCTTCTGATCGGTCCAGGTGTCGGAATTCACACAGCCATGATGCTGTTGAGAGGGTAATGAATGCTTCCACATATGGAATTGTCATCCTTACAAAAAAGTCATTTGGCAATCCTTATACCATTGAGGAGCTCAGGAACTTCTTCGGCAAGAAAAATCTGATCCCTATATTCTTTGACTTGGGTGCTGCTGATTGCCTTGCCAGAGATATCATAGAGAAGAGAGGAGAACTGTGGGAGAAACATGGCGGTGAGCTGTGGATGTTATATGGTGGAATAGAGAATGAATGGAGGGAATCAGTTGATGCTCTTTCTCGGGTGGTAGATGTGCAGTTAGAAGCGAATGATACCAATTTGAGAGCCTCCATACTGCAAGCAGTTATTCTTTTGGCCATGAAACTAGGTAGGAGAAGTGTGGTTGATCGGGTGAATAGGTGGAGAGCAAGGGTGGAGAAAGATGAATTTCCTTTCCCTCGCAATGCTGATTTCGTCGGGAGGAAAAAGGAGCTCTCGGAGTTGGAGCTCATCTTGTTTGGTGATGTCAGCGGGGAAGGGGAAAAGAAGTATTTTGAGCTCAAGACAAAGCAACGAAGAAAAGGCCCTGTGAGTGGCTGGTCTGCTAACAATTATGAGCAATTAAATGCAGATACCATCAAGGGAAAGGAACCGGTTATGTGGAAGGAGACTGAGGAAGGCATTGAGATGCAGAGACTGGGCACTCCACTGCAGCATGGCCGACAACAGAGAGTGAAGAACGGTGGGAGATATGGGAGGAAGAAAAAAACTAGGAAGATACTCTATGGAAAGGGCATTGCTTGCATATCAGGGGAATCTGGAATGGGCAAGACAGACTTGGCTTTGGAGTACGCATACAGGTTCTCCCAGAGATATAAGATGATTTTGTGGGTCAGAGGGGAGAGCAGATACATTCGACATAATTATTTGTCTCTGCGGACTCTTCTGGAAGTAGATTTAAGTGTTGATACCCGCTTGCATGAGAAAGGAAGTGACCGATGCTTTGAGGAACAGGAAGAGGAAGCCATTGCCAAGATAAGACAAGAACTGATGCGGGACATACCGTATTTAGTTATCATTGATAATCTGGAGAGTGAGAAGGACTGGTGGGATAAGAGAGTCATAATGGACCTTCTCCCACAGTTTGGTGGAGAGACTCACTTCATCATAACAACACGCCTTCCACGGGTGATGAACTTGGAGCCAATGAAGCTTTCTTATTTATCTGGTGCTGAGGCAATGACTTTGATGAAGGGGGCTGTCAAGGAATACCCGCTAATGGAAATTGATGCGCTCAAGGTCATTGAAGAAAAGCTTGGGAGGCTAACTCTTGGCCTAGCTATTGTTGGAGCTATACTCTCGGAGCTTCCAATTACTCCAAGTAGGCTTCTTGACACGTTGAATCGGCCATCACCCGTAAGAGATTTTTCTTGGAATGAGAGAGAAGTAATCAGCTTGAAAAATCATGAAATCCTTGTTAGACTCCTGGATGTCTGCCTATCGATATTTGAGCATGCAGATGGTCCCAGGAGTCTGGCAATTCGTATGGTTCAAGTGAGTGGTTGGTTTGCACCATCTGCAGTTCCAATTCATATGTTGGCTCTGGCTGCACATAAAACCCCAAAGAAGCATCGGAGGGGTCCCAGGTGGAGGAAGTGGTGGCGAACACTAACTTGTGGCCTTGCAACTTCAAGGATGCAGAGATCTGAAGCTGAAGCAGCTGCAATGTTGATGAGGTTTGGAATTGCCAGGTGCAGCGCAAAGTCTGAGTATATCCAGTTCCATGATATGATCAGGTTATATGCTCGCAAGCGAGGAGGCACAAGAACGGCTCAAGCTGCGGTCCAATCAGTGTACCTTCGAGGATCAATCAAACATTCTTCTGAGCACCTATGGGCTGCCTGCTTCATGGCTTTTGGATTTGGTTCTGATCCTTTTCTGGTAGAACTGAGGCCATCTGAGTTGATGTTCTTTGTGAAGCAGATTGTGGTGCCACTTGCGATAAACACATTCATCACATATTCCCGATGTAATGCTGCACTGGAGCTGCTGCGCCTGTGCACGGATGCATTGGAGCGTGCAGCTGAATCCATGCTCTCTCATGCTGGCAAATGGAGAGAAACATCAATCTCCTGCTTTAGGCCAGTTCAGTCAGAAGCCCAGTACACCTATCTTTGGCAGGAGCTGGCTCTTCTGAAAGCTTCTGTACTAGAAACACGGGCGAAGCTGATGCTCCGAGGCGGACAGTATGGCATCGGGGATGACCTGATACGGAAGGCCATATTCATCCGCACTTCCATCTGCGGCGAGCACCACCCCGACACGGTCTCGGCTCGAGAAACCCTCAGTAAACTAACAAGGCTTCTTACAAACGTCCACCTTAGTTGATTCATATAGCTTAGGACTTCACCCATATATTCTTTTTAGTGTGGCTTTTTCATAATCGCCGTACAAATACCCCCAGAATATCAAATAACAAAGTATATTTGTCTTCATCATTCACTTCTTTTTTCTTTTTGCTACTGTTACTAAATGTACCCTATCTTATTTCATCCCTGTTAGGACTCTCTTCAAGGTTCTACCAATACATGTTGCCTTTGGTGTAAGCTACTATGTTGTTACTAGATTGTACTAGTACTTCCAACTGCATGCACAGAAGGCTCTGAACTGATGCTTGTAAGTTCTGTCCTGCCTGATGATAAGATGCCATGATTTTGTTCGAAACTGTGATCCAGAATCGGCTATGATGAGAGATGATGTCGAATTGACGCATGAACTATTTGCGTTTTTGCCGTGCCTGTTGATTTGAGCGCTGAGCATTGTTGCTATGAATGATGCCTTTTTTTTTAGCAACGTGAATGATGCCTTTTTTTTAGCAACGTGAATGATGCCTCTTGAGCTTGCACGGTCGTATGCTGCCACTGGAATTAGGTTGAGGAGAACATGTGGCCCCTGAACCGGCACCATCCTGTTGTCCACTCAGCCCATGTTCCCTCTGATCAATGAATTTACAAATTTCATCTTATTTGTCCTATATTGGTGCACTGGTGCTCACTTTTAGCATTGTAGTTCGCGCAACTTAGTGACTGATATTAAACTATCTAGAAATAATGTTATCTGAATGCTAGAGTGACCTACTAACATGGAGCCCTAGCTGCAGGCACATCACTACCTGTTTCTTTCGTGCAGTAGCTACCTGTTGCTGAAGGGGGGCTGGAGAAACATAAAAATTCCAGATTCGTGAAATCTAGTGCTGAATTATGGGGTGAGCTAACAACAATAGCATATAACTTTTGAGGATTTACTTTCAAAATCCTCCTCTAGATGGCTGGGCCCTCTCTTGTTCCTGATCTTGCTGCTAGCCAACTCGTATAATTTCCAAAAGTTATACGAGTTGGCTACAAAAGGTGTTATACACATTCAACAATAATCTGCAGTATGCCACAACCTCGAAGCATCTTTTTTAAACAGAGGCAAAATATTTGTCTCATCCATTAATTAAGTAGTTGGACAAGAGTTTAACAAAAAAAAGACTAATTATTGCAAGGCTATTACTATTCTGTCATGATTTGACCCAGATATTCCACACCCGCAATGATCAAAAGACTTGCCTCTTGGTGACATCAAGGTGGATGAATGGAGTAACAACTAACAAGCATAGTGAGTGAAAGCATTGCCCTTTTATGGATTCTTTGGCGTGGTGAGTTCAGTGGAGGATCTGCTTTGATGATAGATGGTGTCGATTTGACAGATGACCTATTTTCGGTTTTGCCGTGGTTTAAGTGCTCAGCATTGTTGCTGTGATGTCTCTGTCTTTGCATAGCCGCATGCTGCCACTAGAATTAGGTGGAGAAGATGCGACCCCCGAGCCTGCACCGTCTTGTTGTCCACTCGCCCATGTTCCTCTGAATGGTAGAGTAACCTACTAACATGGAGAATTCTACTGAGCAGCTCATATGATCTCCGAACAAAGCACTAGCATCACTCGGAATTTGTATGAAGGTGCCGCACGCATTCATCAGTCCGCTACAGCCTCAAATCATGTTACCTACCTCCATTTCCATTTTGAGTTTTCAGAGAGAGTTTCCATCAGTTCACTGACGTTCGGTTGGACCAGGAAAGATGTTACACAGACAGGCGAAATGTCAAATCTGTCTAGACGATGTCAGGGAGAGACTAGAGAGAGAACACAGAAACAGTACAGCAACAGGGGCCTGGGCCAGGAGCTTCATGGATGGGGATGAACGGACTTGGATTAGCGGCAGGAAGGAACAGATGAGCTGCACCGCGCCGCAGCCCAGTCCATCGACAGCAAGGAAAAAAAAACAACGAACAAGAACAGATGTCTCTCTTTCTCTCTCTCAGGTTCGTAACAGGGCTCGACGGCGTTATTGCATCTTCCGGCGAAGACCGCGCGCGCGCGCGCGCTCACTTCATCTTGGCCTCCGTGAAGAGGACGTGCTTGTTGACGCGGGGGTCGTACTTCCTGAACTCGAGCTTCTCCGTGATCCGGCGAGGGTTCTTGCGCTTCACGTAGAAGAACCCCGTGCCAGCGGCCGACACGAGCCTGATGAAGATGGACGCCCGCTTCGCCTTCCCCATCCCGACGAGATTTCCTCCTTGCCCCGGCGAAGATAAAGCTGGAGACGATCGGATCAGAGCGCGGATATCATTGTGATGCAGGGCACGAACCACCAATTTTGGGATTAAAGCGAGGGAGAAGATCGGGAGAGAGGAGCGGCTTACGAGGTGGCGGGATTCAACGACGAGGAAGGGCACGCCGGATTGTCGCTTCCCTTTTTCCGGTTCTTGGGGCGGCACGGCGGCTAGGGTTCTAGCGAAGAAGCAGGAAATGGTTGGGGAATGCGGTGTGCGTACGGGACTACGGGGGAGGCTATACCTTCCGTGGGCTGGGCTGGGCTGTGGCGACTGACCTTCGTGTGGTCGGCGTACTTTTGGGCTTCCAGCTCTCGGATAGCAAACGAGTTGGGGAGTGCGGTGTGCGTAAGGATTTTTTTTAGTCAACCTCGCAAAGCTTTATTACGTCGTCACAATGTTTACATGACGAAAGGTATACCTTCGCGCTGGCCTAACCAAACATGGTGGCCAACACTCAAAGTTAAAATATGCTTTGCTAAGTTGTGAGCATCAAAGTTTGAGCTCCTAGACTGATAAAATATGTTACAAGAAATATGCCGGATGTTGATGCTGCTGTAGGATGCGAGTTATTTACCCAAAACCACCACATTATGGGCTAGGGTAACAGATCGGTACCACATTATGGGCAGGGCACACAAAACCACCAACAATGGGGCTAATCTGTAACGGGAGCACCGACGCTGCATTTTAGCTCAGAAAACAGCGAATCCGACAGGTGGGTCCCGCCTGTCGGGCTGACGTGGCGCGTGCTGAAGGACGCCGTTAGACTGTGAGAGACGGCCATTTTGGCGCGCCCGTTTAAGTGGCCCGTGCCGGTCGGTGTTCGAACCGGTCCGCCAGTTCATCACTCTGTCGCTCTCCTCTCTCTCGACCCCGACGACCGCCGGCGCCGGCACTGTCGACTCGCCGCCTTTCTCCGCTCCGCCATGGTTTCTTGGAGCGAAGAGTCCTCTAGCTCTTATTCGGATGGCGAAGAAGTAACTAGCCAAGTATGCGTGTTCGCCTCTCGCCTCCCCCACAGATTAGGGTTCATCCCGCTAGGGTTAGGGTTCATCATTTGGGGATTTTCATCCAGCTCGCTGATTTGTGCAATTTGTGTGCTGGTTAGCTTCCTAGGACTATCTCTTGCTATGAATGGAGTGGCATTGCTCACGATCTGTCGTCTCGTTGTCTGCATCAACAACCTTGCAACAGGTTTGTTGCATTTGAATCTGTGGACACAGTGAGACGTTTTCTTGCGTGTGCTGAGGAGAAGGTATGATGGCTAGTACTGTAAGTAGATTAGCTTAGTTAGTTTCTGGTCCATTCACTTGTCAGTACTCCAATTTTGTGTATCAAAGTTTTTCTGTTGCTTCAGTTGATGTAATAGTTGTTGCCCATAATCTATGCATATAAATGTTTCTGCCCAGAATTTGTGCATACAATCTTATGAGTGTTTGTGCCCATATGAGTGTTTCTGCCAAGTTGATGTAATAGTTGTTGCCCATATGTTGTTTTAATTGTTTCTGCCCATAAACTATGCATACAATCTTATAGATGAAAACAATTATATATGCTGTTATAATTCTTTGCAGAATTTGTGCATGCAATTTTCACAATATATGTATTAATTGATGATGTAATATTTGATGCATAGAATATAAGTCAGTGGATAGAACTAAACTATAATTCAGTGGATATCACTGAACTACAATTCAGAACATATTTCTTATTGAGAACATATTTATTTAATTGTAGGCAGAACTAAAGTGCAATTATCTGGAGTGGATAGACACAGAGTGGTCAGTGGCTATGCAGTTCTCCCTCACTGAATTGTGGAGCATGTATGACAAAGATATCAAGGACAGGCACACAGAAAATGTTGAGCTTGCTGAAAGAAATTTCAAACTAGTTGGAGAAAAGAGGAAGATGGAGGAAGATCTTAGGTTTTTCAAACTGGACTTTGCTAAAATGGTTGCTGACAAGGAGGATGCTATCACAGAGTTGGGCAATGTTAGGTTGGCTCTAAGTGATCTCAAAGAGGAGATGGAGAAGAAGAAGTTGGCAGACCATGGCTGTACCAATCTTCATCAGGTACTTAGGGCAAAGGCAGAGAAAGAGAGGGACCAGCTAGTGGTAGAGAGAGACCAAGTTGTGACAGAGAGGGACCAACTGAAACAAGAGAAGAAAAAACTGGAGTACATCATTGCAGATCTGCTCAAACAGAAACATGGGTACAAGGACAAGATCAAGAAGATGAAGGAGATATGTGATGATTTTTAACTATGTATTGTGGTGTGGTTTAGGGTAGCACCGCAGTTGATATGAATGTGCTCTTATGCACTTAATAAGCTGTAATGCTTTATGTATCTTTATGTCCAAGACTTGTCTTGTGTACTCTGAAGACTTGTGTTGTTTACTCCCAAGACTAAGGTCCAACTTATTAATGCATTTTGTTTGTATCAACTGAAATGTTTGTGGTTGTTTTGCCATAATATTTGCAGAGAACATATATTCTAAAGTGATATGTTACCATTTACTTTGCACAAAAAATATATTCTAAAGAGAACCATAATGTTTATGGTTGTTTTGCCATGATCTGTTTTGCACAGAAATATTTTGCACACATCATATATTGCACACACGTCACAGAAAACATTTTGCACACACAGAAAATATATTCTAAAGAGAACATTTACACAGATCTTTTTTGCTCAAAATTTATTTTGCACACAACATATATTGCACAG